TTTTGGAATCTCTTTCCAAATGTTGCAAAAATATCTTCCCTCCTTCCTTTGTTGAAAGAAGAAAGTTGAAAGATTGGCAGGGAATATCAGTAGGACAATTTACAGCAGCCATAACTTAAATAGCTTTCTTTCTTGTGCTAATGGAGGAACTTCCTCAGGTACCAATGGTGGAAAGCTAAACATTTTTTTTTGCTCGCTTTCTTTCTTATGGCACCTGCCCGTGTGGACTTGGGATTCAGGTACAATTTCTTTGTTAAATGTGCATTTTTTTGCAGGGCATTGAACCGATCCAGAAGAGGGCCTCGTCCAATGTAATATTTAGCTATACTATTTCAGTATGATACAAAATGTCATTTAAACACGAATTCTTAAAGTCTCAGCAGCTGTGAAAAATTAAAGTCTACCTATCCAGTTATAATGAAAGCTAGATTTATTGAAGCCTGATGGACTTTGGATGGAAGGGAGCAGTTTTCTATACCAATTAATGCCATTTACGTAATAAAGCCATTATCCAAATAACACCAGTTGACACAAGTGGCTTAGTGTGAGACATTTGCATAATGATGTCATTATATAAATGGAACAAATTACTATGAATGATATACTCTCCAATTTAAAGGACATTAATAAATAATGGATATCCCTCCCTTTAGTTGATCCATTAAATAAAGATTTTATAATGTTTTCATTTGAATCTGCTAGTTGATTGTTAATACTCAATTTTATCTTTATTGTAAGGATTGCCTCTCCTTCCTACTTAAGAAAGTAAGAACTCTTGAAACATGGTTGTTCAAAAGGATTCTTTTATTAAGCAGAAGTGAAAGCCATCCAGTTAAAGCAAGATCTGAATACCCTTAGGCAAGACAAGTAGGATTAAAGCAGTAGAGGCCCCTCCCTTAAAGCCAGAATGCAGATTCTCCATTGCATGTGGAGACAGCAGCCAGATGTGGGTTGTGCTCATTGGTCAGAATAAAGGACTGAGCCTGTCAATTGATTTAAATTCCGCCCCTGTTGCCAGGGGATTCCAGCTTTTTGCTCAGTCCGTCAGACTGGACAGTTGTGTGGATACTTAACTCTGACAGCTTTCATTCATTCACACTGTTATCCTTTAAAGTGAAACAACCCACATGGCTATCATAACAATTCCTCCAGGTAAAAAGGATCTCAGGGCTCTTTGGTGCCAGGATATAGGTTGTAAAATATCTGTTGACACAGGCAATGCTAATAAATCGAATCCAAGTCTCCCCCATCCTCCAATTGAATGGCAGTATCACTTTTAGGGATCTGACACTTATTGTCTTCGAACAATCCTTTTCTATTCACTGGATATTGTATTATGGAACCTCAGAACATCAAGTAGACCTAAGAAAACCCACAAATTCTCTACGACAGGGGTGTCAAACTCAAGGCCTGCGGATTGGATGTGGCCTCAGGGTGCTTTGTTCTGGCCCGTGAGGCCACCCTGGAAACAACGAAGGACAGGCCCACAGCCCTCCTGTGCTCCATTTTTGCTGGCCGAGGGTTGTAGGAGGCCCTAGCAGCTGAAAATGGAGCTCAGGAGCCCATTTTTGCTGGCAGATGCTCGGGCCACCCCCGGTGCCCCTGACACAAGTAACATCGAGCTGGCCCAGCCCACCCTGGCCATACCCATGAGATCAAACACAACCCTGATGTGGCCCTCAATGAAATTGAGTTTGATACCCCTCCTCTATATGGTATAGGGCTGAGCCTGAGCAGGGGGTTGGACTACAGGACCTCCAAGGTCTTTTCCAACTCAACTCTGTTATTTTGTTGTATTATTCTATGCATTTTCTGTGAACTGAGAGAATGAGAATGTGATTCAGAAAATGTCCTAGAAGATCAGTTATGAAAAATAGCATGGACATCATTAACAGTCTTCTGATCTTCTCAACAAAGAACCTAGAAAAGACTTCTAGTATTAAGCCACACATAGAGTTTTTATTGTTTTAGACTTTAACGGGTTCAACCTGATAGCCAGAAATCCAGTGCTTTAAGCGTTTCAAAATAATAACTGCTTCTCAGTGGAATAAGCTCTCCCACTTTGACAAAAAAGAAAGAACTTTTTTTGTATAAGTAGTCTTTAAAATTTGACCTTAAAAATAAATCAACAACTTTCTTTATATATTTAATGGAATTGAATGAAAATTTCAAGCATAGGTCTTCCTGTTGAAAAATGAAGCATGCCCAATTTCAGGTAACTTTGTATAAGAAAGAACTCCCTTTATACGTGATTTTTTTTTAAAACTGTTTTCCTATCCTCCACTCTCCACACTGTGGTGGAGTATTTTTAAAACCAATTTGGGGGTGGGGGTGGGGGAAACAATGCACATCACTTAGGATAGAAACCCCTGGAAGAAACCTGCAAAGTTCAGAAGAATAGGTCTAGAGGTCAGGGCATTATGATGGATGAAACAGTTCTTCCCCCCTCTCAGTTGACTGCAGCCGAAGTCCTTGAAACTATGCACTTTGATAGTTTGCTTGGATAATACTCTATTGACAAAATATATAAACTATGCCATGTAGGGTTTATCCACTCTTAGTATGATAAAAGAGAACTAATGAAAGCTGCAGCATTTTTTTGGAAAAAGGTATTCCCCCTTCATAAATATTATGTAGGCAGTTTGTTTGTGGACTTTCTATGGTTCAGAAAGTGATTCTAGTTTTTCCCTAATAATAAATAAATAAAACCACTGTGCTGCCAGTTATCTTTTCTTTCATTCTACTTTGCCAGTGTTAGAGCTTTCTCTATAGAACTAGGCTCCCCCCACCCCACCAATAATGTATCCAAAATAGGATAATAGGAGCATTATCATTTGTGCTTGAAGTGAAAAATCTGGGTTGATTTGTTTGATTATCCATTGGTTTGGGGGGTTTTTTTGGCTGTCCATTGTACTCTGAGGAAGTCTTATGTTATCTAAGACATAGACCATATTCCAGTAGTGATTTGTACAGCAACTTCAGATCATCAGCTAACAGTTAGTGAAATGAATTAGGTTACTGCTATTTTGGTATGACAATGATTGGGCTTCCATAAGATACCAGAAATTGTTAATACATAAACGATCATATAGCACGTAAGTATTTTCAGCCATAATACCACTCTCTTGCATATGCTATAAAATAGCATGATGTTGTGTTAGATTCAGCCTGAAGATAAATATTTGTAGATAATTACAGTTTTTGTTTGTTAGTTTTCCTTCAGTAACTAAAGTAACATACTGTAGGGTTGTTTATGTTTGTTTTGTTTTTGAATGTGTAAGTTATAACTTACGTAAGTTCTTCCAGGAGAAATGAAAGATGCTAACAATAACATCATGGTGTTCTTACAACACATATACTCTGTAGATTAATGTATAATCTTACACCATTTGTGCACTTCAACATCACCCTTACAGAATGAAATGAAAATGTAGATAATATCATTTGGAAAGAAAAGATTGTGTTGAATCTTCAATTTCATTTATGGAAAAAATTCAGAAACCTTCAAATGAATGTAGAAATAAAACAGATTTAAGAATAGAAGTGAAGATAGAATTTCGCTGTCTGATATGTTTGTGCTTGTCTAAAGAGAGAAAAATAAAAATACAATCCAGAGCCTATGACTATGTATATATTATAATTTTGCTGATTCTTGTTTTTTATTTTCTTTTAAATCTTCCAGTATAATAATCAAAACAAGATTGTTCATGTAATGATTTTATGTAGGGCTATTTGGATTCCTTTATAATTTCAGATAAACCCTGGTCATTTTCTGAAATTTGTTCCCAGATTCATTTTTTTTAATGATATGAAAACAATCCGTTAAATTAACAGATCACTGAAATCAAGAACATTTAAATTAATTTCAATGGAGTAAGGCAATATTGTGTTTGTGAACATATACTTTTTGTTTGTCTACATGTGTTTAATTTTTAATTACTCTAGAATTTGAATTAATCCACTAAATATATAAATTTAATTGTAGTGCCACCAGGTGGCACTAATTTACATTAATATAGAAGGAAGAAAGTATAATAATGTATCGAAAATTGGCCTGAGGTATACATACTTATTTTCATAGTAGTTAAGATGAGATTTAAAATATACTTTTGTAAAGTAAAGTTTCCATCAAATCAAGTTCAAGTATGGTGACTATATGTTTTCTTGGCAATGATTTGAAACTATATTTTTCTGGGATTCTTTAAAAAACTTCCCATTATAATATAGAACCATAGGATTTGCTGATAGTTTCCCATCCAAGTAGAAATTAAGTCTGCTTAGTTTTCCCAGGTCAGACAAAATCATCCAGATGCCATCAGGTAGTTGAACATAGCTATCTATAAGCTTCTTCTAAAAAAAGTATAGATCTAACCTCATGGTGTCATAAACAAGACAACTAAGACAACCAAGAATTCTATATTATATAAGCCCCTCCCCAAACTACATTAGAATGGCCAGATCATAGACGTCGGGTTTGTTAATACCCTCTTACCCCCCATTCCCGAAAGAAGCCAATTTGATTCATTATTATGTATGCAACAATACCAAACTATTTCCACAAGGGGAATTACTATCAGATTTACTTGCTGTCAGATCAAACACATAAAAATAAAACTGAACTAAATAGGAAAGTGGGAAGTGTCATGTTATCAGTAATTGTGAATGCAATACTACCTTGTGAATGTACAACTATTTAAAAAGGTATTCAGCTGGAAGAGATTAAATCAGAATATTATATTCTTAATTTAGACATTGAGTAGTATGCTCCTGAGGAAGAATATTTGTGTGGAAGGAATTGGGACATTTAAAAATTGTCTTTCTTAATTAACCTTTCATATAGTACCCATTGGGTTTACCATCTCATCATTTTGCATCCGTCATCGGCACATGACATGAAAGATTCATTGCAAATGGATCCCTCTGGGAAAACAAATTAAACCAATGCTAGCTCTATGGCACTGCTGTGACTTTCGGGGAAAAAAAGACAGGAAAAAACAAAACACAAGAGAGAATTCCTTTTTATTGTTTTTGATTGTTTACTTCACACATGCTCAGGTTGTCAGATGTAAATTGAGAATAAGACTGCAATTAATTCCTACCAAATGCATCTTGAAGTCACCGGAGCCATAATTTCTCAGACTGATGGTAGGCCACAATCATAACATTTAAGATGGTTGAGACTAGTATGTATTGGGAAAGTAAAGCTTTGTTGGTCAAGGACCACAACCAATATTTTTATAGCAAAGGGGGCTAGAAAATGGATGGATGAAATTATATAAATATACCGTCCTTGATTTGGAGTAAATTCTTGGATCTCTAACTCTATTTTAAGAGTTAATCCACAATCTTGGAAAGTGCTGCTTTCCATTTTCATTGATCTTAGAATCATCCCTAAAGAATGCAAAGGATTCTTGCAGTTCACTTGCAAGTCAGGAATCAGGGAGTGTCCATTCCATATTTAACAGAATATTATATTAAAAGAGTTTTTCCAATTTTCTTTACATTTTCTTTGCATTAAAGAAGATCTCTATTTTCCTTTTATGGTGCTTCTTTCAATTTTTTCATGATGGTATTTCTGAGCACAACTTCTTGTTCAGGTATCGTATAAATGTACAGTACTTGTTTTTCTGTTTTTCATCTTTTTATCCATGTCTTGGCTGCTCATGTACCCCGGTCTGGAAAAGCCTGTATGAAGAGTTTCCTCGTAAATAACTTCCCTTAGGAGGCTGCAGACTGTAGATGGCCTGTAGTAAAAGAAAGAGACCATTTACAAACATATGAAACACATTGTACCTAGGATAATTAGAAGAACCCCATCTTCACTGCTCATGAAAAATCTCACCTAGATTTCTCTTCTCCTACCAACAATGTCAATTATTGAGAAGAAATTTTGTTCAGTTTAGGACTTTATATAGCCAAATCCACACATTTCTTTACAAGTCAGAGGAAAGAATGTGGGAGGATTTTGTTGGTTTGCTTTTTTAAATTGGCTTGCCATTTTACCTAAGACTTCTGGGAATTGTAGTTCAACACATCTGAATCACAAGGATAGCAGTCACTTTAAGATCAGCAGAATGGAGGAAGCTAGATTAGCCCAATCGGTGGATTGCTACTGGTTCGCCCTGGATTGGGCAAACTGGTAGTGGAAACTCCACCCACCTGCCTGGACACATCTGCGCATGCGCAGAAGTGCAGCGCGCACATGGGCAAACCAGTAGCAATGGGATTGGGAACCTTCCACTGGATTAGCCCCTCCTTAATGGTTGCTGCTGCCCCAATACAATGAATTATATAGTTAAACGTCATGTTTTCTATGCTTGACATGTTACATGTCAGTCCTTTGAGGCAGTCCAAAGCACAAACCACGAGTACAAATACTACCTTTATTATAAGGTTACAGTAATAGAATCTTGCAAGTCTGGACTCACTTCCGGTTGGCACTGCAGGGACACAGACGGGGAAATGGCGAGCTCTGCTGAGCCCTGCCAAATCCCCTCTGCTAAGCTGCCGCTGACAGGTCTGCGGGCCTCCCCTGTCTTGTAGGGACAGGGGGACAAGAAGGAATGCCTTGGGCGGCCGAGAGGAACGGGCGGATTCCTCGGGGCCGGAGGCTTCTCCTTCACACCGGCGGCAGCAGGACGGTAGCCATGCTGGCTGCCCTGAAACTGCGGCAGCCGGGAACAAGGATTGTGCTGGAGGAAGAAGATGAAGAAAGAGCAAAAATCAAGAAGCTGGGTGAGTGACACCAACCCAGGCAAACGTACCTATTTGGAATTATTGGAAAATAAGACCCCAAAATTAAACGTGGCTGTTGGACTGCGGGGCTTAAAGATTGAAAAGGGAAAAAAAATGGGTAAAAGACCCAAATTGAATTTTGTTGCAGTAAACTTAAACTGGATGATTTGGTATTAATAAATTTCTGAAATTTGACTGTGCCTTTAACTGGAGTGGAGAGGAGAAATGGATATTCCTGAGAATTAATGCCTCTAAAAGAAAATGAAGCTAATGAAGATAGAGATGGATAGCTACAAATAGCCATGGAGTCTGCAGTGATTAAACAGAGAAGTGGATTAAAGAAATTTCCCTTTCTGGGTGGAAAAGAAACATGTTAATTGGCTTTTTACCTTGGATTACTTGAAATTAATATTGGATATAAGGATTTTGGAGATTCCTACTCTGTCCCAGATGATTTTAAGAAAGAAGAAAGAAAGAACATTTTGGATTTTAACAATGGAGACTGACAAAACTAGGTGTGGTGTAGTTAACAAAGACAGGAAGCTGATGCACTACACTTGGATCAGACATTTTAAAAGTTTTAAAGGGACATACAGAAATTCTTTACTGTGAACTGATGAACCTTGAAATAGAGCACTTTGGACAGAGAAGAAAAGGAAGAAAAGGAAGAATTAAAGTGGATAAATTTAAATGTGACTAACTGAAATGTAAAGTTTAAAAGCCTATGTATATATGATAAAGTTTAAAAGCCTAGGTATATATGATTTTTGGATAAAAACAGGAAGGGTTGTGAAATAATAAAAATAGAAAATAAGAGGTGGCTATTAAAATAGTGGATGATCTCAAGGGGATAAAAATAATAAAGAAGAATATATTTTGAGGCAGGAAAATTTTAAGAAAATGTACTGTTTGATGTCATACGTTTTAATTTTAATTTGCAAACAAATGTTAAACTGATGACTAAGGATTGATTGAACAAAATACAAGATACACAGATGTTAGTGATTAGTCTTGAATTAAGGTAATACAAGTTGGAAATGACTATTATGAAATATACTGAGATTTAAATTGAAAGAGCAGGATGGAAAAATGATATAAAACAGATAATTATATTACAGTTAAAATGTGTGGGATGGATACCAACTAGATAAGAGTTTGAGACTCGGTGGAAATACGTTGGAAATTAATTCAAAATGCTGGAAACAGCCAAACAAATAGGAGGAGAGTTGGGGGAGACTATGCTGGTAATCAGCCAAACAATGGAGGGAGTCAAGGAGGAGACTATGCTGGAAATCAGCCCATAAAATGCTGGAAACAGCCAAACAAATAGGAGGAGAGTTGGAGGAGACTGAGAAACTATTCTAAAATCAACTAAATAGTTGGTGTTTAACAAGCTGGAAGATAGTTAAATATTAGAGGGAGATATAGTGGAAAATATATTAGAAATTGGAGTAAATAAAATATGCCTTTGAGAGAAACCTGTGTAATATGTAAACTGGGAGGTAAAAAAAAATCTAAAGTAAACTGATTTGAGGATAAGGGTCAAAGGATTAAAATTAGATAAAATGTTGTTTTATAAAATATAATAAAATGGAGTGGTATTGAATTGAAACTAAGAATAAATGGTGATAAAATTGTAAGGTAAACATTTAACAAGAGGTTAGAATACTATAAAAATTATTTTGATATGAGTTGTATAAGATATAAGGTAAAGAAGAATAAAGATATGTTTAGAATTGTTAAGCAGATATAAAAATGAGTGAAACTGAATTTGAAACTAATTTTGGATAGATATAATGGATTTATATAGATGAAAATGTGAAATTTGAGGTAAAATTGGTTTTTTCTTAAGTTTTGAATTTCTTTTTTATCTTCTTTTTTTTTCTTTTTTTTTGTTTATTTATAAAAGATGTAATGGAAATTGTGAATTGAGCTTGTGAAAGGAATGTAAGCGTGGTAACCATCTATGACCGGACTGAGATTTTTGCTCTTGAAAGTTATGTTTTTTTGTTTAAATTTGAAAAAATAAATAAAAAATATTTACAAAAAAAAAAAAAAAAAGAATCTTGCAAGTCTGAAAGCACTTCTCTTCTTCTTTACTTTTACTTTCAATAAAACTAGGGAGGGTCCTTTCTAGATGCTTCCCATATCCCTTTTTCTTCTATGGGAAAATGTACCTTTTGCATCACAGTTGTCTAGGCTAAGACTCCATCTCATGTCTCCCAAGGTTATTCCCACATGATAATGTCAACAGGTTAATCAGTAAAATTTAGTATTTTTGTCAGCCCTGGAGGCCATCTTTTTCTTTGGATCTTCAGGGCTGCCACATTTAGTGCTGTGGGAAACTGGGAGGGGGGATTGCATGGAGTGGTGGAGATATCTAGCCATAATAACGTTCCTTTCTCTGAGTCAAGGACATTCGGCTTGCACCTGGAGTGGCGTGACTGGGAGGCGTCTCCAGTGGGGACGGTGCATTTATTGGACCATGTGATGGACATGTGGATGCAGGGGAAGGAACTTGGACTTTCTTTTGGGTGGGGAAAACCTGGAAACTTTCAGATTCAGGTTTTCCCAGTTGTGTCAATATGGCATCTCTAATAAAATGGAACTTTGAGGAACTTCTAGCCTCGGAGTCTTCTTTTGTTGGGGGGGTTACTTGGAACCCTGACAATTTTATTCTGAACTAGATAGACACCCCTAGCTGACTGGTTGGTCTTGAAAAACTAAGTAAAGTTATTTTTGATTAGCAGTTGGATAGAGAGCTCCAGAAAACACCATCTTTGTAGATGTAAGTTAGCTGAAAGTTAGACTCAGAATAGTCTAGATCTATCTGTCTGTCTGTCTGTCTGTCTGTCTGTCTGTCTGTCTGTCTGTCTGTCTATCTATCTATCTATCTATCTATCTATCTATCTATCTATCTATCTATCAATATGTTTCATAAAATCACCAGAGTTGAGCTTGACTTGATAGAGAGTCTTTATGTTATTCAAGACTATCAAGAAAACAACATGTCTATGAACTTATTGGAATGAACCTCTACTGGAGGATTACTTTTTTAATCTTTATTATTTTATATTAATTAAAGTGCCTTAGAACATGGGTCCCCAACTCCTGGGCCATGGCCCACTACGGGGCTGTGGCCTATTTGGAACCGGGCTGTATGAGTGGTGGGCTGCCACTTGTGCAGTCTGGTTTCCCTCTCCCTCCCAGGCCACTAAGCCACAAAAGTTGGTGACCTTTGCCTTAGAGAGAGGGGGGGGGAGGGAGGGAGGGAAGGAGAGTTAGAGATGCAAATCTTCTGCATTTTTACTATATATCTACTCTGCCCCACATACTGTATATGCTTCCAGACTGGGTATTCAGAGCAACCGTCTTTTCCTTCACAAAACAGGTGCTGAATAAAAATGGGCAATAAAGCTATAAAACAAAGTAGATGAGGACATTTTTGTTTGCCGAAACTTAAAAGACGATCAAGCAGTATATTGCAATTTTAATAATAAATGAACAGAAAATATTAAAATGTGAGTTTCAGGCAAAGAGATAGATTGCAATTGCAGTGTAAAGGGTAAAGAAGAAAGGCAAACCTCTTGAAAAGAAATTAGAAGTACATTAGAGGATGAAACAATTGATGCAGTGAAAACTTAGAAGCTGCTGATTGCAAGTTGCAAATTAATTTGAGCTGTCAGTACAGATTTGGAATCTGCATCCATAAAACAAGAAAGTTTGGGCCTAATTAATTATTGGATTGGTGACCACCAGGAAATCATACAGCTAGAGGCTAGACCAGTAAATTAGAAAGGAACATTCAAAAATAATGCCATGGCTATTTCCACAAGGTTGACCAGAATGGCTATGTCAATGAATATGTCCCCAGGAAGAGAGCCAGTTTGATGGAATGGTAAAGCTGATGCTCTCAAAACCTGGATAGTGTGAGTTCTAATCCTGCCTTAGGCATGAAAACCATCTAGTGATTTGGGGCCAGTCATTCTCTGTCAGCCCAACCCACCTCACAGGTTTGTTGCAGTGGGGAAAACAGGAGGAGGAAGGCATATAGATAGGTATGTTTGCTGTCTTGAGTTATTTATAAAATAATAAAGGTGGAATACAAACAAACAAATCAGGTTGAAGTTGAGGAAGGCTCTATTCTGTTTTTTACACCAGGGGTGTGGGGAATTTCCTGAGTCCTCCCAGCTTAATGGCTACAGAATTGTCTTGTCTCCTATCTAATATACAGTTGTTTGTAGGGAGATATCATTTTTCCCAATCTGGGGCTAACTCAAATCTCACATTTCTCTCTTTGTACTCACATTCAGAGTTTTCATCATTCAAATCTTCCTCTTTCAAACTAGCCAGAGGTCATTCAAGGATATTCTTACTTGTTTCCAAATCTGTAATAGTCTGGGAGGAGCATCTTCTGCAAACAGGCTGGGCTTTGGGTTCCAGTCTCTGCAAAGGTAATTCTGGAGGGGAAAAATCTTCTACTAAATATGAGATGGTTTGTCTCTACAGACTTAGACCAATTAGGACTCTGCAGAGAAACCACCTCGTGCTAAGTGAAAAAGTAATAGGCAACTTGCTCATCTTCTCCCATATTGTATAGGGGATATTCCTCCACTTACTGGCAAATTGATATTACCCTGACAGTCTCAAATTTTTAAGGAAAACAAGTTCTTTTTCTCTTACTTTTCTGTCATAGACTGTTTTATTCCTTTTCTGAAATCATGAAAGTCTCAATGGCTGAGTTATAGGTCTTTTCTTTCTTAGATTGTAATGGAAACTCATAGAAGTGCTCCATCAGCAGATATTCCAACTTGTAAGTCAATAGGTAGTCAAGTCTGTCTCTTTCTGTCTCTGTCTCTAGTTTAGTTCAGCAGGTATGGTGACATCACAATGTGTGTGCAATTGTACTCATTTTGATCCAGATTCTTTTTTAGACATTCTCAAAGTTCCTAGCACATGGAGCAAAATCCAGTTAAATCTCTAAAGTGGCGGTCTTCTTTGAGATGATAAGGAGGGGTGTAGGCCTTTTTCAAACCTGCTCCATTGAGCATCTCTCTTTTGATCTTGCTGTCAAAGTCCTGCCAAGGGCTAGTGCAGATCCTAGCTGGCAGGCCCTAATTTATAAATCTTATTTATTCATCCAGTCATTCAATTTCTGTAGCCATCCAACTCAACCAAATGACTCTAAGGAAGCTTTCAATTCTAAAATTCTAAAACAATCAAAACAATAAAACAGTAAAAATATTTGGAGAATGCCGCCATCATAACACATTTACAAAACAATTTCTGCTTTCTGGTCTTTCAGGTCTGTGTGTATTTAATGAAAATGGTAAAAGTAAGAGAGCATCTTCTTCTTCTTCTTCTTCTTCTTCTTCTTCTTCTTCTTCTTCTTCTTCTTCTTCATCATCATCATCATCATTATCATTCATTATTTTTTTAATGTGAGAAAGTCCTTATGGCCAAGGTCATAGAGAGACTGAGTATTCCAGTAGCCTTTTATGGCAACACAGTACTTTCCTTTTGATACATGTAGGACAAGTTTAACAATTGTTTTTAACATCTCTGGTTTCTCTAGAGGTCAGTTAAATCTATCTCTGTCTATAACACTTCATCTGTGTCCAGATGTCCCATATTACCATGAAGGGCGTGTAAAGTATCTTGGAGCAAAACACTGAGGAAAACACTGTTATTCAGGGTGGACAGCAATTACATTTCTATGTCCTCTTTACAGTATCCCATTTCTTGCAAACAGCTTCTCCACTTTTTAATCATCAACTTATGTCAGGATGATTTTAGCAAAGAACATGGAGTTTTAATCTGTCTTTTTTCACCTCCTAACACTTCTCCAAATAGGAGATCTGACAGTTGGGCACATTTGATCTCTTGAGGGAAACAAAACTGCACGCCAGTAAATGATTGTAATAGGCAATAGGAATACTCTCCTGATATTCCAGCTTTTTCTGCAATAAATCTATCATTTTGCATCAGTACAATCAGCATTCCCAACTCCTTTGCATATAATGTCCTGTAACAGTATAATTCTGATCAGGTATCTCTATATGTCCAATTGTTTCTATTTACGTTATTTATTCTGCTGAAAAGAAATTATATTGTAAACTGCCTAGCAGAGTTGTTTTGTCCAATAAAAAAATAATATAAAACTTTTTTTAAAAAAAACCAAGTACATGTGGTTTAGAAATAAAGGTGTGTTTTTAATGTAACGGGTGCAGATGTTCTACTTAACTAGCATAAACCATTAATTTTGCCAAATATTGGTTCTAGGTTTGTTATGAACTCAAGACCAATGGTAGCATCCAAGTACAAATCATATGTCCATTATATTAGATGGGGTCATTCATCATCATCAGAAATAATTTGTTTATGATGTAATCTATATCATGTGATAAATAGATCATTTAAATACTGGAAAGTGTAGACAATAACGTTATTGTGAGTTTTAGCAAAAAGAAAAAAAAATGAAGGGATTGACAAACAGAAAACAACTGTGTGACACCACAGCTTTTGGCTAAATTCTGTGATTTACATATCACACTCAGAATTGATGTGTATGACTTTTGTAACGCCGAATAAAAGGTTACAATTATTTCATAAGTTGCAGCATTGTTACCTTTAGGGTTTTCTGGTACTATATCAAAAAATTGTATAGGAGAGATGTCTTTGAAAGAAAAACGGGGCTATCCTGCAAACCTATGCTAAGCAAGCAGCAGGAACCTAGTTTTAAAGGCAAGTCTCGACTTTCATGGTGCATCTCTGTAATTGCCTGATGAATGGGGATTTTTATTTTGTGTGTCTACTTTAGAGGTGCTTAGAGTCAAATGCCAGAAGTGGCATAAAAGTACTATAAATGAATGAATGAATGAATGAATGAATGAATGAATGAATGAATGAATGCCTTACAAATGCAGGACCCAGATGGGAACACAGCAAGTGATGGGACCACAAAAAGAAAGGCCAGTTCTCCACACAGGACTAACCAAAGGGGAACAACATCAGATGAGTAGCTGCCAAGCAAATGATGAAATACAAGCTGCATCATAAACAATGTGACTAATCACTAGGGTGCAATGCTGAGTGTACAAGTGGACATCTTTCATTTTTGCATCATTTTTCCAGACACCTCATCATCACCACGACAGATGAAATCCTAGATCTTTGAGATCTAGGATTTTGAGATCTGTGATCTTTGCAGTTTAAGCTGGAAAAGGATAATAATAGAATGTTTTTATACATGTTTCCCCTGAAAGCAGAAATCTAGGTGACAAAGCACTGTTACAGGGCTTCACATGATTGACTTAGGTATACAGAAGCAAAAAGAGTCTGCTTGATTTTTTAAAAAAATTTGTAATGTCCAGATGCAATGAAATCTTCTTTTTTTTAAAGCATAATATAGCATATTTACTCCTGCGCAAATTTTTTGAAAATGCATTCAGTTACATTTTAATTTGTTTTAGCATGAAACAAATTTCTTAGGGGCTTCCATTTATTAATCTGGCATTATCACTCCTTCAAGACTCAATATTGAATCTTTACCATCCCATCAGTAAAACGCAATCTGAGTGCTATAGTTAAATTCTGGTTAAAAGATGGCAAAATGAATTTTGTTAAAAATTCCCAAGCCTTCTGCTGCCAACAGATTTAAGCTGAAACATTGATTTTTCAGAATTATTTGATAATTATCATATGTTGCTCACTGATTGCATTCATGAAAGTCCATGAAAAGTTAGATTAGAAAAATATTGATTTCTATTTTGAAGAAACTCTTTAATTTCCTGGCACAGTTTTTTTGGCTTATTTATTGGAGAAAATGAATGAAATATTTACAAAGTTCTATGAAATTCCACTAGAATTATTATGTTTATTTGATTGGATTTACATTCTGAATCTATTCTCTTCTTTTTTTTATTCAGATGACCATATTAAGTATAAAATGCACATGTCTCATGATGTATGGAAGCTTGAATACACATAAACAGTCCTCTCAAAATATAGCTAATGAAATACTGAATATATTAAACACTAATATTGAATATATTAAAAAACTGAAGTAGCTCTTTTCAGTGATGTACAAAATCTTCCCCATAAAATTCACTCATTAGTCCAAAAGATGTTGCTTATCAGGTAACTTCTGTGTAAGGATCCACAAATCTGAATCCGTAGTCAATTTTTTGTTATTCACAGAGCACCGAAAGGTAAAAAAGAAAGATTTTTCTCAAGATAGAGGAAACATTCATTTCTGTATTGCTGGTTTGATAGGCCTACTCAAGTGGTCTTCATAAAACTCTAATTACCATTATCAAGATTTCTGAAGATCAGTGGAACGACTTCCTCTAGAAGTTGTGGGTGCTCCAACAATGGAAGTTTTAAAGAAGAAATTGGACAACCATTTGTCTGAAATGGTATATGGTTTCATGCCTGACTAGGAAGTTGGACTAGAAGACTTCCAAGGTCCCTTCCAACTCGGTTATTCTGTTGGATGCTTGGCACGATTGTCCACTGTTGCTCATGTAGCCTCTTTGTGGCTGTTGCAAATCCAGCAGAAATGTAGAACGATAATGAAGTAACACTGCATTTTTTCTACAGGTAGTCTTTGACTTAAGACCAATCACTAAGTGATTGTTTGAAATTACAATGGACCCTGAAAAGGGGACTTATGACCCAGTTTTTCAATGTCTGCCACCTCCCCTACAGTCACATGACCACATTTTGGGCGCTAGCAACCAACCTGAATTTATGGCTCTGCATAGTGCCTACAATTTATGATATTTTTGCCACTTTTCAGCAAAAATCACCCCATAGTGAACAAAGGGTTTGTTTAATGACCGTAGTGTTTGCTTGATGACTGTAGAGTTCGCTTTCTGACCATGGCATTTGCTTAACAAACACTGCAAAAAAGTTATAAAATCAGGTCCAGTCATATGGTGATTCACTTTACAACCATCACAACTTACAACCATAATTGTGGGGCTCAATTGCGGTCAGAACTTAAGGACTATCTGCACAATATCATTACAATGTTATTGTAATTTTCTACTTTTTAATTATAGTTAATGAGAGGCATAGAGAGTCAGATTTCCTAATCAGTATTTTTTGCCGAACTAAGTTCAAACTGAATATTTTGGTCAGTGCTAGTTGCTAGGGAACATGAGCAGGTAAATGCTATTAGTTCAGTCTCATCCTTTTTGTGACTGACCTATAAACACCTTATTGGCTTCTGTGGTAGCAAGCTTTCAGCCTAGGGATTGTGATATTCTTGTTATGGTCTGTTTCAGATACCTTCTGCTTACAGTACAAGTTTCAACCTCGAGAACTGGGAAGGCAATCTATCAGATTTTTTTAAAAAAATATTGTTTTAATTATGAGGATCTGCTACTTTTTTGGTGCTTATTTTATGTTCCTTACATCAGTTTATTCCCTTAAAAATGTAGAAGAAGGGAGCAAGTGTTAGAGATGTTGTTATGATTCAGTCAGCACCCAGATATCACCCAACACAGAGATTTGACAATAAGGTTGTTACCGAGAGCCAATTAGATAAGGAACTGATGAAATGGAAGTAGTTATTTAATAAATCTCTGTTTTAAGCTACATTGTAATAATCCTCATTTTCTTTATTTTCAATATTTTGGAGGCTGCTATCTCCATCAATGAAAACATTTCAGTGGTGAGGGGCTAATTAACTAGTCTTCATGTAGCACTTACTACAATAGGAGCCTTGGTAGTACAGTGGTCTAAAGCACCTGTTATTAAGACCAGCTGCCTGTAATTACTGCAGGTTCGAATCTCGCCAGGCTCAAGGTTGACTCAGCCTTCCATCCTTTC